AGATAGTATATAACTAATTAATGCTGTTTTCAATTGGAAAACAAATCTAAATAAAGTTGTGGCATGACTGCTGAATTTTAAAAAACAAAAAAAAAATAAATTTATAAATATAATATATTTTAAAGAATATTTTTAATTATAACCTATGGTGATGATTACTATAGTCATATGATAGTCTTTTTTTTTGATAAAACGAATAAAATATTTTACATGATTATACGTAGCTTTATTGTATTCTATCAGCTACGCGCAATTAGACTATATTATACATGACACTTATATAACTATTACAGCTTGTGTTGCTTCGCTTGCACTTAGCAACATATATAGAACTCGCTTTACTCATTCTGTAGTCACTTCGCTATAGCTGTTGCCTCCACTTCGCTCCATTTCCTAAATACTCTATAATTTTGCATTTATATCTAATTATATAGTGCTTATTGAAAGTTGCATTAAAGATGTTATATTCATATTTCTAAATGATTTCACTGTGAATACTTTTAAGATATCATTTCTAGACAATTATTTTGCTAGCCTTATTTCATAGTCCTATTTGTCTATTCATAGTCATTTTGCAAACTTCATTTCATAGACAATGATTTATGTTTTACCTACAACCTCTATAACACTCTAAATGACAAACCTACTCAAAAAAAAAAACTATATAAAACATATTGAAAAAAAAGCCAATAACGAAAATTGCAAGAAAATAAAATAAAACGCAGATTACTTTTCTGGTAAATTCGATCTATAAATTCAAAATCTAAGAGCCATTTAATAATGAAAATCAGAAACCATTGCCTGAAAAAAGAATAAATTATATTAGTGCAGCAAAAAAATCAACATAATAAAATAAAACTAAATAAAAAGAGAAAGCACAAAAGAAGCAAAACATTCAATGATTATACGCAGAATAAGAAATATGTATATATATACATTTTTATCAGTTTGTAGATTACAACTTTTTAAAAAAGAACATAATACCATTAAATCAGCTAGTATTAATTAATGCATACTAACTTTTTAGCATTATGCCTTTCAAGAAAATGACCTTGAATGCTTAATTACACTGTTTATCTAATATTGCTGTTAGCCTTATACTATTAATGAAAAAAAAATACTAAATATAAAAAAAAGCAAATAAAAGAAGACAAGTTTTTAATACTTATTTGACATCTATAGCATTGTGCTACTTCGCATTTATAATTCACTATTACCTAGGAATAAAACTTATTAGATACTGCAATTCAAGTAGTGAACAATCAAAATCATGAATAATAATACCCTAGCGTTACTAACCTAAAAAAATTTCGCTATCTCAAACTTTACAAACCCTAAATGCTAATAGTGAAATTTTTTAGGCTAGTGATGCCTAATAATCATGATATTGATAGCTTGTCACATGTTTTCAAAGTTAGATTTAAACAATATAAATAATTTCTAGCACTAGTTCAGAATTATACATCATAATTTAAAATACAGCATCACTATAAATTATATCTTATCATTCTCTTGCTGCTTACATGTGTATGCATTATGTTCTACCTCACCATATACATTACATACATATTTTCTTTTGCTCTCTTCTATAGCATGACTATTATTTGAACTAATATTTGATAAAGGTATCCTTAAATTAGGATCCAGAGGGTTAATTGCATGATTACTATGTTCTTGTCCTTTATAACCTTGAGCTTCAGAAGAACTTTTTAATCTTTTTGTTGGTGGTTGCCCATGACGTTTTGTAACTAAAGGGTTATTCACAACTATATGCTCAAGTTGATTAAGTTGAGTACTTTCGTTATCAATACCTTCAAGTAAAGACTTTTTTTGATCAACAAACTGAGTAATCATGCTAATTAATTCTTCCCCACATTCAAGATCCAAAGCAAAGTTAAGTACTTTTTTTATTTTGCCAAATCTGTTAGCATATTTGATCTTTTTGCTTGCTAATTGCTAGTTTTTTTTGTTATATATAGAACCTCGAATTTGTTCAATAATATGAAGATCTGGATAGATCATGTTTGTGTTGTTTTGTTGAAATATCATCGAAATATTAATGTTTTGATGTTGTAAAACCTCCAAACCTTTATTTTGCTAATCATTCTGATACCAACGCCTAGCTACCAACTTAATATAAAATATTGCCGTTTTGGTATTCATCATCATCTGAAAAAAGTGAGGACATATAATGCTGCGGTTGATAATAGCCATGCAGATGCATAAATATCCACTATCACTCAATAACACTACATAATATTTGTAAACTGCCATTAAATCTATAACCTCTCATATTTCAACAACTTCACATAAACCAATATTCTTTATTAAAGCTATAATGGAAATTTGTGGCTGATCAAGTTTATCTTCTAAGAAACTATCATCATAATCCAATTGTATGTTTTCCTGACAAAAGAAAATTTTAAAGTTTAATATCTTAAATAATTAATAGAGCTATAGGTATGAAGGTATAATACTAAAACATAAAGCGACTAATATAAAAACGTAAGTAAATGCTATATTAAATAATTATTAACACAAATTTCTACCAAACCCTAATAAAAAAAAAAGTAATTAATCTGTAATACTTGAATATCATCCTTTTGTCATAACTGCACTTTATATAAAAGAGATCCTATGACTTGTTGTTGTTATACAGCTAAAATATGAGGTATTATATATAACCTTAATATCTCAACAACTTTCGAAAATACAGATTTGATGATTGATAGTGTTTGATTAGTAGGAACTGAATTCAGATAGCTATTATGTCTTGCCCACTTAGCCTCATTATCCAAGAGATTTTAAATGTGGTCATAAAGATTACGCAATGAAGAAGTACCTTTTATACCTTCTTTAAGTAATTTATTCATCACTTTGATGCACTGAGTACTTTGAACTCCAGCTGTAAAGAACTTTAATTAATAATACTGAGCCCGTGATTTAACATACCCCTGTAATGTCCTGTTAAAATAATTTTGTGTCTGTAGATATTTTTCTAACAAATGTGACTATCGCCTATAAAAGTCATTTTCAAATATGCTATTTCATATATGTAAAAACTCTTTATAAAATTCATCGAATTGTTTTCCAAGTTTACCTCGCAAATTTTTATGAATGTTCTCCTGTATATGAAAAATGCAGAGAGAATAGTATGTGATAGGTAATTTAAAGGAAATTGCACTACTTAACGCAAGGTCAGCATCAGAAAATAAAACTACTAGTGGTATATTATGTGTTGCTTTCATAAGACATTCAAGGAACTATTCATAAGATTCAATAGTTTCATCTTCAGATAATACTTGAGCAACTAACTGAGTCCTGGTATTATTGTTAATTACTACTAAAAGTGTGAGATACATGTTAAACCAATTTGTTTGACAGGTATTGTCTGTTTAAACAATGTCATTATAACAGATTAGAATTTGTTGTTGTGTTGGAGACATTCAAAATAATCCTGTTAATCTATTATTATATGGGTTTATACGAATATTAACAATCCAACCTAGATCCTAGTTCTTTAGTTGCAACAGATATTCAATAAAACTTTGTGCTTCTCTATACCGTTGAGTAGGTGTTGTTCAAGACTTTTGAATAGCATTATGAAGATCACGT